AGGCGCTGAAGAGTGGTGCCGTGACAGTCGCGGAGGTGAAGGTGTGGGATTTTCTGGCATTTCTGGTTTCAAAAATGGGACCCTCAAGTTGTGGCTACTGAATGATGACAAACAGATAAACTCAGATAAACCATAGGAATTTGGGGATTTTTGGGGTATCCTATTTTCAGACTAGCCCATCGGAACCAAAAGGACTTGGATGCACAGAAAAAAAATCAAACAAGACAACAATCACTGCGCAGGGGTATCCCATTGGAGGTCAACTGGATTGTTGGATATGATTGGTGGGCATCAATGGGCATCAATGGGCATCAATGGGCATCAATGGGCATCAATGGGCATCAATGGGCATCAATGGATCCTATATTTTCGTGAGGAGATCGAGTTTGACGCTGCCTCCAATCCATACATCGCGACCAGCACCACGGCTGAGTGTTTGGCGTTGATCTTCATGATTGTGGTCGGTAGCCTCAGCTCTTGGCGGGATGCTCCTGTTGAAGATCTGATTCAGTTTCAAGATCTACTGATCTACTGTATATCATTGATAGATATCATTTCTCTCATTTCTACCATTTCTATCATATCATTTGATTTTTTGATAGTTTTGACATGGAAAGTGTGCATTGTGACACACCCAACATGTCCTAGCAGTTGGAATGGATAGTGCACCAAGGCCTGTGTAATTTGCTACCTGGAGTGTTGCAAGTGTCTTGGCAAAAGACATGCCCAGTCCCCGGTGTTTTCGTAGAAGCAAATCAAGATCCTGAAAGATTGTTCTGCATGATGCTAATGAATTTATTTATATTCGAACGGTGTATAATATATATATATGTATATATCTATACACATTAACAACATGATCAGCACTTCTTGAGATCATTCCCAAGCCTGAGAAGTCCTGACATTTCAAATCACTTGACGTGACATCAGACATCTGGTCGTTGGGGGTCGATTTCAGTCAGCTGAGCAGCGACTCTTGAGCGAGGTGAGCAGCGAAGCTGGTAAGAGCTGCCATGTGCAGTGAGGCCAATGGCTACAGTATGCTACAGTGCTACAGTCAAAGTATTGGCCTCTTGTCCCCAAAGTCAAAGTTAGAAGCTCAGTGACTCAGTACCATTATAGGATCTATTTATATCTATTTGGTAATACAGAGTCAAAATATTGGCCACTGCGAGGTGGTAGCTCCCCCAGATGAACCTCAGGGGAAGCGCCTTCCCTGGCCGGGGATTTTCTTAAAATGGTGAGATTTCCGGTATTTTGAGATGCCAAGGGCCAAGAAGTTTCTGAAGATCTGCTTATAGGAGGCCATGGTGGCTGTGAGTTGGGCAAAGGCCTTTCCAGGCCATGCCCACCATGCAGTGCCCAAGTGGCGAGGCGAGCAGGTCGTAGTTGCGGCGCCACAGTCAGAATTAGCTCTGCTCAGTCAGAATCCTCCAAGAAATCAAGCTGCTGGCAGTCGCAGAATGTTTGCTTCAGAGATCAGAGCTTTTAACGACCCAGTCGTTGCTGTGGCTTCCAAACCCTGCTGGGGTGTTTGAACCTTCGTCTCCAGATTTCTACTTTGTGCGACAGAAATTGACATTGCTATGGGGTTCGCGTGCGTTGTCTCTAGAAATACATTTTTGTGTTCTTACATTGTCTTTTTCTTGAAAGAACTCAGTCCTTGCACCGTTTTATGCCGGAAATGACAAGTTTGTTCTGCAGACTTGATCATTTTGGAGTGTTTTTCAGTTTGTACTTTGGATTGCAGTGAGGGAGAATATGATGTACAGTAAGTTATAAGCAAACATTTGTCTGACTTGAGAAAAGGCTACATTTATTTTTGCCTTGGCTCAACTGAAAGCCTTTGATATCGGCTGTGTCAGCATCCATTGATGCAGGTTTCCTTTGACCTGTACTAGAAATTCTCGACTTAGAGTAATGATCCGTGTCTATGATAGCAAATCGGGGCTCAATGATGGTTGCGGTACCTCAGGCAGCTGGTTTCCCATGTGTTGCTCATTGAATGAGCTCATCCTACTGGATAAATCAGCTCCAGTCTGCACTCTTGGCAGCTCCTAGTGAACGCATGGGAGGGCACGTTAGTCTGCACTGAAAAATCCTGGTTGAAGCAACTCACATGTCTTGGACCATTTCTTATGTATGTATGTATATATATATAATATTACCCACAGACGCTGCGTGTTGCCCAGACATTAACATTGAGGATGTTGTGTTGTCGAATATGATAGGAGAGATTGCAAAAAAATACTGCATATACGTAGTGTTTTCTGGTTTAGGATTCAAAGTTTTCAGGGTTTTGGTTTTCGGGTTTAGGGTTTAAGGTTTTAGGGTTTTAGGGTCCGACGCAAAGCGGCGCCCAAGTGAAAGCTGTCTTGGACAGGAAGGTTTGTAAAGTTAATCACAAGGAATCACAAGAAAGTTTTTTAGACTCTTTTACGGGGTGCGCGCCCTATGCTCCAAAACTTAAGTTGAAAAAACTTAAGTTCGTCAAGGCGAACTTAAGCACAGCCCCGTCGAACTTAAAATTTGAGGCATTAACTTCAGATCACCCAGGGCACCAACTTAAGCACAGCCTTGGCAAACTTAAGTTCACCCAGAGCCTTACCTTAAGCACAGCCCTGGCAAACTGAAGTTTTGAAGCCCTAACTTAAGTAGACCCCCAGGCCCCAACTGAAGTTTACAGGCCCCAGGCCCCAATTTAAATTCACAGCCCCCAGGCCCGTACTTAAGCTTACAGGCCCAGGCCCCAATTTAAATTCACAGCCCCCAAGCCCCAATTTAAGTTTACAGGCCCCGGACCCCAACTTAAGTTTGCAGGCCCCAAGCCCCGATTTAAAGTCACAGCCCCCAGGCCCCAACTTAAGTTTACAGGCCCCGGGCCCAGGCATCAATTTAAATTTACAAGCCTTAGGCCCTCCCAGGCCCCAGACTTCAACTTAATTTCACAGCCACCAGGCCCAATTTAGATTCGCAGCCTCCACCCCCGAACTTAAATTTACATGCCCCAGGCCCCAATTTAAATTCACAGCCCCCAGGCCCCAACTTAAGCTGACAGGCCCCAGGTTCCAATTTAGATTCACAGCCCCCAGGCCCCAACTTAAGCTTACAGGCCCCGGCCCTAATGTAAATTCACAGCCCCCAAACACCAATTTAAATTTACAGGCCCCAGGCCCGTACTTAACCTTGCAAGCCCAGGCCCTAAATTAAATTCACAGCCCCCAAGCCCCAATTTAAGTTTACAGGCCCCAGGCCTAGGCCCCAATTTAAGTTTACAGGCCCCAGGCCCTCCCAGGCCCCAGGCCCCAACTTAAGCTGACAGGCCCCAGGTTCCAATTTAAATTCACAGCCACCAGGCCCCAACTTAAGCTTACAGGCCCAGGCCCCAATTTATTTTCACAGCCCCCAAGCCCCAATTTACAGGCCCCGGGCCCTAACTTAGGTTTGCAGGCCCTAGGCCCCGATTTAAAGTCACAGCCCCCAGACCCCAACTTAAGTTTACAGGCCCCGGGCCCAGAAGTTTACAAGCCCCAGGCCCCAATTTAAATTCACCGGCCCCAGGCCTCAATTTAAATTCACAGGCGCCAGGCGCCAATTTAGATTCACAGCCTCCGCCCCCCAACTTAAGTTTACAGGCCCCAGGCCCCAATTTAAATTCACAGCCCCCAGGCCCCAACTTAAGTTCACAGCCCCAGGTCCCGACTTAAGTTCACAGCCCCCAGTCCCCAACTTAAGTTCACAGCCCCTAGGCACCAACTTAAGCTCACAGCCCCCAGGCCCCGGCTTAAATTCACAGCCCCCAGGCCCCAACTTAAGCTCACAGCCCCAGATTAAGTTTACAAACCCCAGGCCCCAACTTAAGCACAGCCCCCAGGCCCGGACTTATATTCTCTGACTTCAGGCCCCAACTTAAGTTTACAGGCCCCAGGCCCCAACTTAAGGACTAACATGCCCAACTTAATCGAGCCCCAGGCGCCCAACTAGTTCAGGGTTCAGGGTTAAAGGTGCTTTGGGTTAAAGGCTTGTAGGTTTGAATTTTGGAAAAGGTTAAAGGCGGTGGGGCTGAAGGTTTGAGGGGCAAAAGGTTTTAGCGTTAAAAGGATTTAGGGCCGGAAGATTTTAGGGTGAATGGATTTTAGGGTTAAAGGATTTAGGGTTTGAAGGCTGTAGGAGTAAAGGGGGCATAGGGTTAAAGGGTTTTAAGGTCAAAACATTTAGGTTTAAAGAGTTGGGATAAAAAGGGCCCATGGCAATAATTGCAATTAAAACCGGAAGGAACATAGTAATATATGCAATAACAACAACACCAACAGCAACAGCAACAACAACAGCAACAGCAACAGCAACAGCAACAGCAGCAACAGCAGCAACAACAGCAACAACAGCAGCAACAGCAGCAACAGCAGCAACAGCAGCAACAGCAGCAACAGCAGCAACAGCAACAACAACAACAACAACAGCAACAGCAACAGCAACAACCACAACCACAACCACAACAACAACCACAACCACAACCACAACCACAACCACAACCAGAACAACAACAACAACAACAACACAACAGCAACAACAACAGCAACAGCAACAGCAACAGCAACAGACAACGACAACGACAACGACAACGACAACGACAACGACAACGACAACGACAACGACAACGACAACGACAACGACAACGTCAACAACGTTATCCACACATGGTTGCAGCCGCTTTGCGTCGCCCAAGTGCCGCAAGGCTCCTAAAATTTAGGGCTTTAGGGTTTTAGGGTTTAGTGTTTAGGGTTCGTCGCTTGGGAAATCTCAAGACACTGCCTCTATGCAGGTGTTTGAGCATGTTGAAGGATAATGCATATACGCCATTTGAAGTTTCCAGGCAACACGCAGCGCCTGGCCATAATATTACACATACATAATTATATATGTACACATATGTATATTTAGTATTATTTAGTTATATATATATATACACATACATATACTTTAACTTCAATCCCAGAGAACTCGGGTCATGCGGCACCGGGTCGGTGCGTTGCAATGTTTGCGCATCCTAATGTGCGTTGGTGCAGGCCATGAACACTTTGATGGATGCATGGCTCATGTCATCTGGGGGTTTCCTAAAATGGGGGTACCCCAAAACAGATAGTTCATACTGGAAAGTCCTACTAAAATGGAGGATTTGGGGGTACCCCAATTTTGGGAAACCTCCATATATCTTTGTCTATTTTTGTTTCAGACTGTGTCCATGATTGCTGGATATTTCCGAACGCGATTTTGCGGAGGCAGATATTTCGGGCTTCAGGGGCTTCCCTTTGCCATACCGATTGCACAAAAGAGACTTCCCAAGGCGAGGAATGGATGGCCCAATGAGATATCCCAAGAGATTTGCACATTCTCTTGCCTGAGACATCCCTTTGCTGACCTGTGTTCAAGTGGCCACCACAGGACACAGCGTGGGAGGATGATGTAGTGCTATTCTTAGCCCCTCGTTTGCATGGATGTATCAGTCTGTTGGAACAAAATGCACTCAGAGAAACGAATGGAAAGCAGTGAAATGACATGAAAACAAACATTACTGAACATTTCAAATCAAGTGGTTTGGGACACAGAAGCAAATGGCAAAATGGAGCCCACTGTGACAAGCATCATACCGTACTCAAACAGATCTGTCAGCAGATGCAGTCCCAAGGATTGTGACGATTGCCTCTACCAAAACAACTGGACCACGGCCGAGAAGCTGACGGTGCCGTGGGTTTTCAGGTTTCGGTGGGATGTGATGTGTATCTACCCACCATGCATAAAATGTGTGACATAGCTTGGCTTAGACTTCCTCTAGTGTTTTTTTTCAAATATTTTTTTTGATGCCTTTTTTGGATCTTTTTCGCACAATGAATGATGCAGTGCCCACTGCTATTCCTGCTCGTTGTCGCGTGCCTTAAGAGCCACGTGACCCAGGACAGCATTGCAGCCTACACTGCTCGCCTTGGTGTCAGCAAAGAGGAAGCTTTTGCTTTGATGCTGGGCTAAAAGATGCTCAAGAATGTCACAAAAACACTAATCCCCCGTTCATAGAACAAGCACCTTCGAAATGGTCCCAAATCGTATTTTTTCTTTTCCTATCACCTTCATGTTAGGGGAATTGGATTATTATGATTATGATCATCGTTCTTATGATACGTACAAATTTGGCATTGTTCTTCCTCTTGTTGTTTGAATTCCAATGGTTTTTGTCATCGTTGGATACCCAAAGGTCACTCTTTGGCCGAGGTACGAAGAGCATGGGACCGCATTGAAAGGCCTTCTCGCTGAAGGAATCCTGGATGAAAATGGTGCAGAAGTGTCCCTTGTCCTGGCGAAACAGCAGTGACTGAGTGATGTAAATTTGAGTCAAAGAAGTTGAAACCACTGCAACTTTCCAAATCTGACGGTACCGACTGCAGTTCAAGATCTTGAAGATCTCGGGTCCCTTTCACCGTCGAAAAGGTACAAACTCAGCGTGCTCTGAGGTATTTGCAAGACGTGCATGCCATTGACCTGTCTGCTTCTTGGCAAGTTGCATTCTCTCTGGGGCACCTGGGGTGGGTTTTCGAACGCACAAGCTTCTTCCTTTCAATATTGTTGGTACTTGTAACAAGATGATGTCTATGAGCCTATGAGCTGCTTCCTTGAAAATGGACAACCAGTTTTAAAATCTGCTTTGCTGGGGACATCCACGGTTTGGCAACCACAAGCCCAGTCCCTGGCACCTTGGCACGAAGAATTGATTCAATTAATCCTAGTGGAGTGCAAGGTCTTGATGCGAACTGGACATTTTCGGCTTTCTCAATTCCACTCATTTCATGACTTTACTGCAAGGGAAAACAAGGACAGAGACCCCCGAACAGATGTGGAGCGGCATTTCACCGTGGTTTCTCATCAAGTTTCCTTGACAATCCAGCAACGCGTGGCTGGGTCAAGACGGTCAAGACTGTCAAGACCGAAGATACATGAAGATACCATAGTTGGGGAGATGAACAACCATTTACCCACCATTTACCCACCATTTATATACCCACCATTTACCTGCCCTTCTTTACCCAGTTTTCCAGCGCGGCCACAAGCCCCGTCGATGTCAGGACATCACTCCGGATCCGCAGCTGGCGCGGCTGGTGGGGCGTCTACGAAAACGGCCCTGGATTTTCACCGCCTCTACGGAGGAGTCGCTTGGAGTTTCAACGTGTGGAAATGGTGCGCCACAATGGCACTAAGAAATGGTGGTTTAATAATTGGTTTATATAATAAGTTTAATATGATGGATGTTTTTTTTCCTCCTCCCTTGTTGTGTTTCCCAAGTTTGTTTGTGGTTATCCGTGCTGTTATGAGATGATTCAGATGATATATTTGACTGATTGCCATGCCTAGTGCCAGGAATCTCTGAGGGATGGCAATAGAAGTTTTTCCGAAGAATTCACCACGGTCGCATTTGGTGATTCGCTTTCGCTGCAGAATGACAATTATGTCTTTTTGACTACTGATGAAGGGGGCATACATACAGGGGCATTATATTTTTTTTGGGTAACGGTCGTATTTCGTTCTGGAAAGCTGTTCTGCGACCAGGCCAATTTACCTACCTATTTGGGTATGCTCCCAATATTTGAGACCGAAAGAATCATCCAAATAACCTGAACTACTTTGTAGGGGGGTTCCTAATTTTGGACATTCTCATTTGGGTTACCCTAAATTTGAGGGTTTATCAGTATGTTCCAATAAGGATTGCATTTTTTTTGGGAATTCCACCATTTTCAGACCCATTTCATCGGACCCCAACTTGACCACGCTTGTGATGGTCGACACCAGGCATGTGCGGCGCTGTCTGGACCTTGGCTCTGCCAGCAAAGAACCACACGAACATCTACCAAAATATTAAACAATTAAACAACACATATACCCCAGCATATACAAAAAAAGAGTAGCAAGTATACCGCCACATAGCAATTGTTGCTATCTGACTTCATCGGGCCGTGTCCCATTGATCTACTGGACACTTCCTGAGGCATCAGACGACTGAAGCTGTCATCCAAAGACCTGGCTGGGATCATTGACACACGTCTCTGCAGGCCACAGGAAGTCTAAGAGTGATGCAGAAATGAGGGTGTTCGGGGTGTCTGAACATGGGCTAAACCGCTATATATAGGCTATACCCCCATATGCCCTGCGGGAATTCAGTAGGTTTGGGGGCACGTCGCTGAGAATTCAGGGAGGATGCTCGGGGTCGCAAATCCACATGGCAGGTTGGAAACAAAGCATCACCCCAGCAGCTTCAATGTGGCCATGCAACGGGCTGGTGTTGCCAGGCTGGGGACTTGTAGCACCCCAAAATCATGAAGTTTCGCGAGATGGTACCATGATGCACACATCTTTTCGATTTTTCTTAAACCATCACTTGTTGGTTCAGTCCAGCCACACCCCAACACCAGGCCTGAGCACTGCCTTCTTTGTGATGATAGCATGGAGGCCAAGGTTTTTGTATGTTTTTGCCATCAGCCAGAGAATGTGCTGGGAGACCCCCGAAAGGGGATAATGTGGCAACGCTCCGACTTTGGGAGCGTCGCACTGCCGTTGGCGACGCGGCCCAGGTCTCAAAAACATTCGCGCGGCGAAGCGGATGGGTTGGCGCGCAGTCTTGGTGGGCTACTTGAGTCGTGGCTGGGTTGCAAAGGGGCCTGAGGCAACACAGGGATACTGTGGGATACCAAATCCCATGCTATAACTGGGCACATCCCATCATGTATGAATGGTTCCAACATGTTCTAATCATCATTGTCAACCACCGACTGAACTGGGATGCACATTCGAGTACAGGTTTTCAAACTTGCTCGGTCCATGTTTGGAAATTGAAGGCAGGTGTATATATATATATGTACTGTATATGTATATTATACGGTCGATTGAACTAGATTCTATCATTTTGGCAGATTTATGGCATTGTTTGGCCAAGAGACCTACTACTAACCCTTACAAGCAATTTTACAAACCCCAACATCTTGAAGCCTAACCCCAACAAGTCAATTTTCCTTAACCTCAAAATTGCTGCTAACACATATATATATATATCTACTAACTTCAATATTATTATTAATTATAACCCTTATAGAAAGCCTATTTCTATCAATGAATATATATATATATATATATTATACAGACACAGATACACAAACCCAGACAGACGCAGACAGACACAGACACAGACAGACACAGACAGACAGACACAGACACAGAGAGAAACAGACAAAAACCTGCGCAAGCAACAATAACAGGTTTTTAGTTTCGACTGTGTAGTACAGAGCACAGACAGAAAGAAACAGAGAGAAACAAACGAAAACCTGCGCAAGCAACAGAACAGGTTTTTAGTTTCGACTGTGTAGCACAGAGCACAGACAGAGCGAAACAGAGAGAAACAGAGAGAAACAGACAAAAACCTGCGCAAGCAACATAACAGGTTTTTAGTTTCGACTGTGTAGTACAGAGCACAGACAGAAAGAAACAGAGAGAAACAAACGAAAACCTGCGCAAACAACAGAACAGGTTTTTAGTTTCGACTGTGTAGCACAGAGCACAGACAGAAAGAAACAGAGAGAAACAGACAAAAACCTGCGCAAGCAACATAAAAGGTTTTTAGTTTCGACTGTGTAGTACAGAGCACAGACAGAAAGAAACAGAGAGAAACAGACAAAAACCTGCGCAAGCAACATAACAGGTTTTTAGTTTCGACTGTGTAGCACAGAGCACAGACAGAGAGAAACAGAGAGAAACAGAGAGAAACAGACAAAAACCTGCGCAAGCAACATAGCAGGTTTTTAGTTTCGACTGTGTAGTACAGAGCACAGACAGAAAGAAACAGACAGAAACAAACGAAAACCTGCGCAAGCAACAGAACAGGTTTTTAGTTTCGACTGTGTAGCACAGAGCACGGACAGAGAGAAACAGAGAGAAACAGACAAAAACCTGCGCAAGCAACAATAACAGGTTTTTAGTTTCGCCTGTGTAGTACAGAGCACAGACAGAAAGAAACAGAGAGAAACAAACGAAAACCTGCGCAAGCAACAGAACAGGTTTTTAGTTTCGACTGTGTAGCACAGAGCACAGACAGAGAGAAACAGAGAGAAACAGAGAGAAACAGACAAAAACCTGCGCAAGCAACATAACAGGTTTTTAGTTTCGACTGTGTAGTACAGAGCACAGACAGAGAGAAACAGACAAAAACCTGCGCAAGCAACATAACAGGTTTTTAGTTTCGACTGTGTAGCACAGAGCACAGACAGAGAGAAACAGAGAGAAACAGAGAGAAACAGACAAAAACCTGCGCAAGCAACATAACAGGTTTTTAGTTTCGAGTGTGCAGTACAGAGCACAGACAGAAAGAAACAGAGAGAAACAGCCAAAGGGTTAAGCTCTGAAGTACTCTGTATATTAGGGTAATGTCCTGGAGTAGCCACGCCGGTGATGCAGGGCCAGCTTTTGAGGTGGCGATGGATCACCAGTCCAGTGCGAGGCACGACCTAGACGATGGAAGGTTCCAGGGGACCCTGGAAGAACTGAACCACAGATCTGGTGACTTTTACTTATTCGGATATGTAATATATATATATACACACACACCTGTAGAATATATACATACAAAAGCACGGTATCAACGTCTGTAAGAGGCCGTGTCGGTGATGGCATCAGCCAATGCCATGATGGTGGTAATTTGCACATTTTCATTTCTCTTCATCAAATTCGTGGTTGATTTTCTATGGAAAGGTTCTGGAAATAGTCGGTGGATGCGTCACAGCCTTCTTTTTCTTCGCAAGTCATGATCAAAGAACAAACAGCTTTGAAATTTGCCCCGTTTAGGTTGCTTCTCCAGCACGTTTCTTCTTAATATTCCGTGCATTTTTTGCCGGATCGACTCCTGCAGGAAGCAGATTTTCACATTGGCAACTCAGAGATGAAGGGCCTCAGGTGGTCGGGTCTATGATGGACTTACGATGCTGAAAGCGAACTTCATCTTTCTTCATGATTTGTCTAGCCAAGATTTTCAATGCCAAGATACTCAGAATGGGTCGTTCTAAGCATTGTGGCGCTTTATCAATGTGCTAAGGACTCAGGGGTTGCAAGGGATTCCGATCATTTTGGGTAGCTGGGTAGCAGAACCCCGGACCTGTTTTGCGAGGAGGTGCACTGCTAATGCTAAGGTTCGATCCACGAATTGCCTGAAGTGATGCCAGAGCTTTGGAATTGAAGCAGACCGGGCAGACCCTCCAATTTGGTGGTTGAGGTCCGCATTCTTAAGAAACACTGATGTAGGAACCCACTTGTTCAAGTTGCCAAGTTGCTAAGATCATATTTGGCTTATAGTTTTTGGTTGAACCAAGCTGAGAAGAGCTTGCTAACAAGGCAGCTATTCCAAGAGGGTGGAAGGTTGCAGCTGCCGAGTGAAAACTGCTCGGCTGTACTGAGCTGCGCAACAGCCGCCAGACCCCAGTGTTGGCTGTGTGTGTCACAGCTCCAAGCTCCAGAAGAGGGACCAACTCTGTGGATCCACTCTGGAAAGTCTCTCTTCGATAAGATTCGATAAGTGAACAATTAGAACAATTCAATGTTTCCAGAAACGGGCCAAAGATGCGTGCGAGCGGCACTTGCTAGCCCGATCAAAGACCGGAGGAAGCAAACGAGCGAGCAGCAAAGTACAACGTTCTTGCCTTCTGCAATCTCCAACACCTCTTTGTAATGTTTCTGTCACTTGGAAATGCGAGACTCAGCATGTCATGTCTTTGTGGGTCAAGTTCATTGGTCTTGTGTAACTAGCATTCAGTGTCGAGATGCAGCAGCGTCCCAATATGTCGCAGCTTTCGCAGAGGTTACCATGAAAGTCATTCTACTACAGTGGTACAGTAGAGTTGAAAAAAACATCAGAGAATCTCCCTATCCAACCAGCAACAGCAGTCCTCAAAGAATATGCAGGAACTGACCTGCCAGTAGTTTCCTGCAGAGACTGAAGAATCATGCCTTGTCACTTTGCAGCAACCATTGCACCCCAGCCAAGTCACTCGTACACAAGATCAAAAGGAGATAAGAAGAGATGAGAAGAGCGTCCACATGGAGATCCCCGGGTTTTGGGGATATGCAGTATGTCAGTATGTCAGTATGTATATGTATATACATATATATTATGTATATATGTAGACATATTGCAATATTATGTAAAATGCACATGATGTACATAGACATGAAATGACATGAATATTATGTAATTATGTGCAGTATACGCATACATGTCAGCCCTGACTGCTGACTGACATCAGTCCAATGAGCGAGCCCGGCGCCTCGCCCGCGCTGTGGGGTGCACAGGGTCTGGCAGCCCTTTGGATGACGTCCTCGCAAGTCTTAGGTGAGGGCAGGATGCTAAAGTTTCAAGAGGCTGAAGCCAATTGCTTTGATACCAGGCATCCAAATTGAAATGGAGGATTCAAGTAGCTCGGAACCATTGTTCGACAGGGACTGTCGAATTTGGAAGAGTTTCTATGAAAAGAGTCGAACATCAATGAAATCTCGAGACATCCATTCAGAGAACAGGTTACTTAGAATATTTAGAATAGAATTACATACAATTTAACGTACAGTTATTCACTGTTCACACAACTTTTATGCATTTTTTTGTTGGTCACACAACTTTCTGGTCCCAAAATGGCCTCGGTGTCACGATCAGGCGACGTGCGCCCAGCCAGTGCGATCAGTGGCTTTACCCGGCGACCGGAGGCGCAATAATTTGATGTCAGGGTTTACAATAGAATGAATATGGAATGATTTTTAGAATCAGCGTGGATTATACATCAACACGCATCTTCTTTTTTGAATATGTAGTGAATCACATCTTGCATGTGATATTATTGTTTGTATTGTATATATATATATATACAATAAGTCATATCTACGTAATCTACATAACCCACAGTTTAAAGCCCATGCGACACATGTTCCATGGCCCTGCGCTTCGGAGGTGCCGCTTGAGTTGCTGCTGCTTTCTGCAGGGGTTCAGCTACGCACTGGGCATGAAGGCATCATGGCACAACGAATGCAGGTTGTGTCATGGGCCAATCCCCAAACACCATGAATCTTCTGGATCTTTGGGTCAGTTTGTTGAAGGTTGGGGCACTTCTGGAGGTGTGACTTGCTTTCATCTCAAAGTTTGTACCAGTAATTGGACCAGTAATGATGGTAAGCTGTTCTTGGTGTGTTCACAAACAAAGAGTTTCAATGTCGCCTCCTCAGTGGCTAAGGGCGTGGGTTCCGAGGACTCCTACCCCAAGAAGAGAGAAACATCAACAGTCATTGAAGTGACCAACAGCGACTCCTTGCCAATTTCCACCCATAACCCATGGCCAATTTCCAGTCATACTGAGAACTGTCTTTTTGAGTTGATCTCTCCGACGCAGTGTCCATTTGGTGCTCCATTTTGGTGCTTGCTGAGGCTGTTTCCAATCCCTTCGTGGCATCTTGGCTGCGGCTGTGGGGATGGCCATAGCGCTGCTGCGGCATCTGCGCTCCGATGGTGCCGGTGTGACTTGGAGCGGGCAACAAAACAAGGGAGCGCTACAAGCTGTCTTAGCCAGTACTAAGCGACAAAACAAGGGCTTTGAGCATGGCTCTCTACTCAATTCTTTGTGAAATTGAATGGCGTATACTTTTGATATCTTTTGATGCTTCATAACAATTATTAGGTGGTGACCCTCAGGCCGTGATCACAAACAACCTGCAAACAAGGAGTGACTAAGTTGCGAAGTCCCACTTGGTTTGGGCTTGTCCATCTTTTTGTGATGCGGAGCACAAAAGGCATAGGACTTTGGACCCCTGGATTTTGGATTTGAGACACACCTGAAGTCCCCAGGTTCCAGGTGCTTCACCAGATTTTCTAAAATGATGCACTATGGCCAGGAGCAAAGCTGTTGGTTGCCAGTTGCTCCTGCTTCCTTGGTGGGATCCAGTGTCTTGGGAGCAAGACAGGTGGCAGTGCTTCTGTTGCGAGTTGATGTGGTGACATCCCAGTTGCAGGTAGCTCGCGCCCTTACTAGATGACATGTGACAGATTTTTCGCAGATTGATCCAATTTTGTGGTAGTGTCAGCTGCATTGTTTGCCAAGCTGAGTGATAGTGTAAATGCACTCATGGCGGTGCACCAAGGATGGCTGTCCACTTCCATATTCATCGGTTGCCTCTGCTTTGTTTGCAGCGCTGCTGGCTGTCACTTGCAGCTCCCTGGAACGTGGGCTGTTGACCCTGGACCGGCAAGGACGGCTTTGGCAGTGACTCAATGATCGATCTCCGGGTTGGCCGCTGATAAGATGATCAGCTTAAAGAAGGCTGGGATTCCACTAGATGCACAAAACAGCTATTCCGATTCCAGAAAAGATGACCCAAGCAAAGTGTCCGTATAGACAGGGGCTATCGTGAAAGTCCTGATAGACTCATAGACTGATAGAAGCTTCTTTGCGACCGAGGGGTAAGGCATCTTCATTGATATGAGTGCAAGCCATGTTCGGCATGAGCGGCTCAACCGATGACAAACAAATCAAAGGACCATATGTATTGGTTTGGCATTTTGACCTTGGGCCTCGAAATCTAGATGATTTCATTTTCCATGATGTCCTGAATTGCTCCATCCTTTCTATCAGTTCATCTCTGAAGAAATGTCAAGAAGATTCAAGAAGACCCTTTTTGGGGTGCTTTGATTGTGCAACTTAGGTTCGCTCTCCTGGTTTGGTTTGCTGCACTCATCCCCAGTGGCTACATCTTCCTATTTTCCGCTGTGACACCGGCTGCTCGCGAGCTGGTTTGGACATGGCCCCTGGCGCAGCTGGTGGATATCCTGCTAGGCTCATGGTCTGGGAATCTAAATGGAACAGGCAGAAGGCACCCAGGATGGCTGTTACCCTCCGGTAATTTAACATAGCTATTGAAAATGACCATTTATAGTGGATTTTCCCATAAAAAATGGTGATTTTCCATAGTTATGTTAGTTTACCGGAGGGTATATACCCAAGGCTGAAGGAAAGCTTTATTCTGAGAGTTGTAGTTGAGTGGCCAAGCAGGATTGAGTGTACCTCTGTCAAGAATGAATTTGGGAGAATGTTCGGACACTGAAGAAGATCCAGCCAGGACCAGGAGAAAAATATTTCAGCACTGGGTTGACGTCCACAAACCTGTGGTGTCGAATACGCAAAACCACTTGGCAACTGCAACAATTATTCAATAGATTACTATTTGAAGAGGTGGAATCCAGGTTTTTAGCGCTCGCTTCCATCGTGGGTACCATCTATGGCCAGGTGCATGTGTGGTTGGGAAGCCTTTTGCCAGTTGGCAAGGAGGCAGGAACCAGAGCATGCAGCAGACAGACCCCAGTTCTTCCTTTTTTACAGGCAACAAAATCTTGATCTCCTCCAGCTGCGGCAAACTGTTCCAGGTGCAGCAGATGTTCTCTGCCTGATTCTGGTGTTGGTGCTGTTGCTACCCATCGAGCCTCTTGTGGCGGCAATCGTGGGCTGGTGGTGGGGAACTAATGAACATTGTTGTGCAACAAAATTAGGCTTTTGTCGTAGGACTCATTCAGTGGAAAGTGGCTGGATTCCGTCAATTGTTTCTCCAGCTTCCTATCACACATACCCATGTCCTTTTCTATCACTACCTACGTGCACACATATGCTATATGTACATAATGTATCGTGACCGACCGTGCACTGCAGGATTTGGCGAACAAATTTGCATTTTCCACGCGTCTTTCCTCCTTGCGGGTGCCTGCATTTAATTAATTTTCGGCAAGGGTCCGCACGCTCACGAAATACTCGTCGGCATGTGCACCGGTCTCACACGTGCGCGTGACTTTGAGACGAACGTCCGAGATGTACATAATGTATCGTCATGTCATATGTATTCTACACGCAGCTCCCAAAAAAATCATCAGGCTACCCGTCCGGATGATCAACGATTCATCACCTGAGGTCCCTGCAGGGCTTCCAGGCCGCAAAGCTGGGCAGCCTAGGTCTGGCATTGACGCTAGGGTCTGCAGGCCGGGATCCACAGGGGTACCCGAAAATTCTGGGGAAAAGCATCGCAACCCCCAAAAAATCCATGGGTGAATCATCATTTTGCCAAATAAATTGGCCGTGAAATGGGGTATCCCCTGTTTTCAGACATACTCAAACAGTTGAACATGGCCCAATTTGGCGGATGGTGCTGGCAACTCAATGCGACACTCCTGTACCGACGGCTTTGGATGCCTTTTTATCAGTGTACAATCCTGGATTTTCAACCGTTGGAGAGATTCTTCAGCTTTGGGGGGTTGGGGGGACCATACCATTGGGGGTGTGGGGGGTTCCGGTCACACGTGTGTATGTATGTATATATATGTCGATAAGATGGCACACCGTCTTTTTGGATTCAAAAAATCGCAGGGGTCAAAGTGGTCATCAAGGCTCCACCCACGGGGCCAAAGATGGCACAGTGCTATTCATGAGGTCCAGCTTACTGACTGAAAACCACAAATTTTATACTGAGACCATTGCCTTGGTTATGTGCCATTTTAGATTCCTCTACTAGACCAAATACATAAAAGCAAATATGCATATAAACAATGAGGTACGGCTCAAATTTTCCTCTTCTGCTTCCTTCCTCTTCCTTTCCTTTTCTTTTCCTTGTCCGTTCCTTTCCAAAGCCAAGCCAAAAGTGCATGGAACTTTCCAATACAAAACAGGTGCGTACGTATTGCAAATGGGGTGTGTCACACTACGATGGCACACCCTGCTCTCAAGACCATTTAATCGGGGAAGACTATGCAAAAATGAAGGCAGGACCATGCAAAAAATCTCAAAACACACTGGAGGACCCAAGAAAAACAATGGAAAATGGAGCGGCACAAACCAAAAGTGAAGGTCAAAACACACATATGTCACGTATATATATATATATGTACACAATATAGTCATATTTTGGCCAAGTGGCCCGTTTCTCTGCCATCGGCGTTGTGCAGGGGTCAGCTTGCTGGCGCGTTTTTTGGCGCATCCAGCCTTGGTAGGACCGTGGGCGGCAGGTTGGGACCAAGCACCACGGTGCCATGGTGCCCTTGTTGAAACAGCACAGGACTTGGCAAGACCTCCTGGGAGGCGATCTTCCTGTGTGGACCGTTGCTCCTTGGCGAGTTGATCACCAACCTCCCATGGATAGCGGCATTGGTCAGTTGAGCCTGAAGGGCTTAGATGAGACCCGGTGGCTAAGGTTAGAGATGTGCGGCCAATACTTGGGCCCCAATTTTCAGAGAAGTGCTCCAGGCCGAAGGGGGCCGGGAAACCATACGTTTTGTCGGATGGGGTGGGATTGGAGGGTCGAGGGGATGTTTTGAAGAAAATCTGTGGCAAGGCAAAGGTTCTTTATTTATTTGTTTATTTATTTATTTGTGTCATTTTGTGTCTGTATTTTTGTTTGACAATGTACACATAGGTTCGTCAAGCTCCAATGCACCTAGACGTCGTGGCAGGTTTCCTGGCCTTCAACTTCTGTTTGTGGACCTTGGCCTCAAATTTGGCCACGGGGCTTAGGCCCAGTGGAGTCGTGAGTTGTCGTGGGATAGGTTTTGGATCGATTCATGGATGACTCTTGGATTGTTTTTTGGATATGGCATGGTCAGAACAAAACATCCTGGAAAACCTACTGAGAAATATTGTAAGATAATCCACCTAATCATTTTTGAGATGTTGACAAACTCTTGACCTAGCCCATACACAATATCTGGATATTTCCCATGCGTATCCACATTGTGGAAAGTCTGCTGCGAAGGCTTTGCATCCACAAGGCCTCCTCCGATCGTTTCCGGACCAGCGCTTGCGAGTAAAATCCAGGGTCGCCAGGGTCGTTCGGACCAGTTGTCTTTGGGAAATGTGTGTTGGAGATCGCCAGAACCCATTCAGTTTCCCTGTATGGATGCCTGGTTTTGGGAAACTCCACTCCCAATTCCTAGGATTCTGATTGAACATGCTCAGCATCTGAGCCCATTTATTCTTGCTGCCTCCTTAACCCATCCCTGGCTCAAGCCTGAGAGCTTGATGGAGCCCCAGCGGAGAATTAACGTAAGATCAGATGGAAGGGGTTCAAGACATCCTGCTATGTGACGGGGAAACTTCAGACTTCAGCGAGTGGTTCAAATGAAACTTGCATTCAGTATCGCAGGAATAAAATCCAGTAACGCCTAGAACCGCGCACATGGCACTCAAGCCAAAACACACGGCACTCATGCCAAATCCAGTGAACAGAATGAGAGGTTTCAGTGGAATACAACATGGATTTATCTACATTTGAAGCGCGTGGGTGTGTATATATACATATGCATGTCACTCCACTGAATAGCCAAGACGTTTTCATAGGAGTCTCATGCCCTGGATTGACAATGACTGCACCGGTGGGAGCCTGCCTGTGTGGTGGGACTTCATGGTGCAGAGATGGTTGAGGCGCTGAAGAAGTCCATGTCATCCTTCATCAAACGTGGTTGGGAAATCCCCAACAACATGGAGGTTCCCCATGTTTGACTACCACAGAGTAAGGAAGGACCTTTCGAATCCTTCAATCTTTGAAAAAGATGTGGATTCAACATGTGGCCAGCACCGGGTGCCATTTTTTCGTGCAAAGGTAATTCTGCCTTCGCGTGTGCCAAGAGCGCTTGGGGCCTCAATGACAACTGCTGTCCCCTGGGGCTCCCGGCAATTGCTGTTGAAGTATGGTCTCCAACTCCATGCCTTTCGTTGTAATCTCCAAGGTTTTTGAATGCTCTTTAAGCCAAAAAGAAATATATGTATGTATATATTTACATATACAAATATATATATATGTATATATATATATGTAAATATGTGTACACATATATGTATATATACACATATGTAAATGTATGTATGTATGTATGTATGTACGTACGTACGTATGTATGTATGTATGTATATATATATATATATGTATGTATGTATATATTTATATGTATTACATATATATTTATGTATACATATATGTGTATAAATGCAATAAATGTAAATATATATATATGTACAAATATGTATACATATACATATATACACATATACATATATACATATATACATATATACATATATACATATATACATATATACATATATATATACATATATACATATATATATATACATATATACATATATACATATATATATACATATATACATATATACATATATACATATATACATATATACATATATACATATATACACATTTATATATATACACATGTATACATATGTACATATATGCATATGTATATATATATATATGCATATATGTATAGATATATATATATACATACATATGTATATATACATGTATATATATCTTTTTTTTGGCACACTGCATGTTGGGACATCTCTCGCCGCGGCAGCTGCTGTCCTTGAATTCGTGAGACGCCAGCAGTGACAGTTCATCACTTCACACAGTCTGGTCCAATGGTTTCTGTGAATTCTGTGCAAACCATGGCCAAGATTGTGTCCTTTACATCTGCGGGAATGTGATGCTGGCTGCTTGGCATCGGCATTGATGCTAAAAACGTGGCAAAACTGGCAGCAAATGCACTGCACAGCGCCGGCGGATACTCCTTGAGTACCGCAGTACGGAAATGACCCTCTTGGTCAAGTCCAATTGATCGACCTTTGGGAAGCTCTGCACTGATTGCATTGGCTCGAAGATGAAGAGGCAAGGACGGCAGGTTGAGTGTCAACAGCGTCGTGCTTTTGGCACTGTCAGCACCAAGGAGTCCCTGAGCAAATGTGACCTTCTCGAAGCCCGGCAGAGTCAGGAGAAGCTGGATGAGAGGAAGCTTCCATATGCTTGGGCTGCCTGTGTCGGAAGGTTCAGCAGGATGCTCCAAAATGCCACTGCCGTCAACCTCGTCAAGGAGGATCATGCAGATAATGCTAAACGCCAAGAGCTTGTGGCCGTCCATGATCTGGCGCTTCTCTCTGAGTGAGAGTGACCAGAATCCCCATAGATCCTCCGCAGATCGAATGGGTCGGGGCCCAGTCTTGCCCTGTCGTTGCATGGTCATGTCCACTTTGCCCCTCGCTGCGGACCACGTGCAACAGGGGGGACCTCCAAGCATCCCAAGGACGTATCCACTGCGAATGGCATTCGTCCAAAATTGGTACGACTCAGGTCTGCCGATATCACCCCATTGCTGGTCAATCACCAAGTCAAGTGATACTACAAAGAGCATCTCAATGCCAGTTCTCTCCGCGGTGGCGTCGAGGTACCACTGGAAGTCCCCGTAGCGCCTGCGGCCTGAGTAGGCATGCACCACCACACGTTCTTGAAAATGGACGCGAGGAACCGTCGGCTCGACGAAGCGTGGGGGATCATGAGCTTGTAGTTCTCTGCACCAGTCTTCATAATGCGGCAGCGCAAGATCTTGGTCCGTTGACCGTTCGCAGAAATCCTCTGCAAGGAAGCTCCACTGACGGAAGTCCGCAAGGCGATAGAGCAGCTGTCTCCACTCCATTAGGCCAAGGTGGGCCAAGTTGGCATCTTCGAGCGTGAGGGACTCTGCAATGTAGTGTAATGTCCGTTTGGTCATCGTCCAACTCACAGGGTGGGTCTGGATGCGCTCATAAAGTTCGTGAAAAAGGTCTCGTTCTGGTTGGTCCTGATGATCAAAACATGCCGAGACCAAATCTTCATAAAGACTGTCACAGAAATGTTCATCAGCACGTGGTCTGTGGCGCGCATCTTTAGGTCCTTGTGCTTGCAAAGTGGGCACAAGTCCATCGTGCGCTCTATGGAGTCTCTCATTGGCAAGAGAACCCTTTCCTGGTGCAGGTACCGCGTGTTGACGTTGTCCTTGAAGAAGATGTCGACATTGCGCAGTGCATCGCAAATGTTGTTGAAGTTTAGCAAAGGTGTGGTACTCCCGCAAGCATGATGGACAAGTCGTTCCATCATAAAGGCGTCGGACTGGTGCCACGATGCCATGTGCTCGACAGAGATGTGCACCTTCTTCTCCATGACTCTTGAATCTCTTGCTACAGCGCATGCATCCAAAGATCTGATGGTCTTGCGTAGGGGCTGGTTGATAGAGCTGCGGTCGATAGGCCAGCGGTCCCTTGTCGGCCAAGAATCCAAAAGCATCTCGGTGCAAACGTAGAAGCAATAAACGATCTTCTGAATGCAAAAGTTCAAGCTGCACTGCTCGTTGAAGAAGTCGTTTCCAATAGGTTCGATGGTAGCGGAGCACATTTTCCCATGGACCAAAATGATCACGTGGCGCCGGGAGCGTCGTGGTCGAGCAAACAAGGTCCCAGAGCCACTGTAGGTCATCACAAAGCAAGGCCATCCATTGCGAGTCGGCTCGCAGTACAGCCCATGGTGTGACATGTTCGCACTTGTAGAGGAGAGCAAGATAGCGAAGTCTGGCTACTCGTAGCACTGTGGTCGGTTGTGGCAGGCCAAGAATGACTGAGACTTCCTCGTCGGACATGGGCTTGTCATGAGGCAGCTTCATCAGGCGGCGATAAAGGCGCATGTAGGCACTGTGAAAATACTGCTTGTTGATCTTGTCCATGAGCGTCCATGACTCGGTCCCATACGTAACCTTGCTAGCCACCAAAGTCTGGAATAACTCACTGCGCTTCCGCAATGGAAGGTGACCATTTTGGAAGAGAGTCTTCCGATGTTGCGTGAAGGTCTGGTGACCTTGGGCAACTTTCCTTCTCATCTCGTAGCGCGTCTCTCCACTATGATGAATGAGTCCACCTAGATGTTGATAGTGCCCGACAACGACAATCTCTCTGCTGCCTCCTTCAGTCAGAATAGTCATCTTGCCGGCAGTGGATGGACCGAAGTATTTGTTGCGGAGTGGTCTGGAGCCTTTGCCTCTGAAGGCAAATAAGATCTCACTTTTCCCTCGTTGAAGGTTCGGTGTGACCCCATGGCGTTGACAAGCATCCAGAAGAATTCCACATGCAACACCAGTCTTGGTCTCAATGGCCTGGGCTGTTGGAGCGGAAACTGTGACGCACAAGTCATCCATCCAAGTTGGCCCTAAAAAGGGCAGAGGCCTTGTCGGTGCCCTGGCACTTGGAAAAAGGCCATTGGTCTCGGCATCCTCGAAATGTTCAATCAGGTCGGCTTGTATCATTTGAGCCTCTACCGATTTGAGGATTCGAGAAAACATGTACCCAAACACCACATCGGCGAATGGGTCGCCGGGTCGAGTGCCAACTGCCGTGCGCACATAGTCTGTCTGGCCAGCAACCCAAAAGTGCGTATCAGTATGCAAGGCCCGAAGAGCAACTTGAAGATGTTGGGGTAGACCAGCAAGTTCCGTAGCAGATGGACTCTGCAGGAGTTCATGAAGGTCGTGAAGAATTTGATCATCAAGGTTCAAGCGAGCAGCAATTTGTCCCAAAACCGCGTCTGGAAGAGTGCCACCGACCGCCAGAGGGCGGATGACGCGATAAAAGGCTTCCTGCAAGTCCAGGAAAATGAGTCCTGACGATGCACGTTGCTGTTTTGCCCGTCTCAACGTCGCTCGGACGTGATGGACACCAAGTCCTACAGGCACTCGCTTTCGACCTCCAATCTGACTTCTCTGTAAGAAGCATTCATACAAGCTGGATTGTTGCTCGCGAATCACTCGATGCAGAGTCTTCCCCACGTGTGAGCTGATCAACAAAGAACGATAGGAACTGCATTCTTGTTGTGCTCCTTTGCGCTTCCACGCTGACACAAGGAGACCTCCTTTGTGGAGTAGCGCTTCTTGGCCATGCGCCAGGAGTTTCAGCATCTGCGTGTATGTGAGTCTCGCCATGGTCACAGGTTGGCAGTGACATAGCTCTGGTGGGATGTCATCAGCACCAATAGCTTTACCTGGTCGAACTCGTCGAAAAGCTCGTTCAAGATCTGTCAGCCTTGGAATATCCTCTGGCTGGAGGCGGAGCCCGTCAGGAATGCACTCCTGTAGATTCTGCTTCCAGAGGTTTCTCAGCTGCCTCTCATCCATCCTGGTTCCCCCTTCCATGGCTCCGAAAAAGTTGGCCCATCGATCGGTCAATTCCTGTGGGGTACGACATGGACGACCATTCTCATCGTTGACCATAGGTAATGGCATCTCTCTCCGGTGTCGCATGTTTGTGGGTCCAATCAATGGCTTGAGGGCTTGGAGGATGTCACTGGCGTGGCATTCCGGTGGCAAGGTCGAGACTGCGTCTCGAAGGGCTTGTCCTCGTGCTTCACGCAGCTTTCTTCTTAGAGCAAAGTTGGAACGCTGAAATTGAACTCCATGTTTAAGAAGTGCACATTGTAATGAGATAGCAAAGGTCTCGCCAGGGACATCAATTTCCGGTTGGTTCCAACAGGCAAATGCTCTCGCAAGCAATTCTCTGGCCTGCATGCGACGGAGTTGACGAAGACGACGACCTGCTTGAAGTTTCTGAGCTCGAAGCGCCCACATCTCCTCTGTGATGAAGGGCTTTTTGGGGCCAGTTTTGCGTTTGGGGCAATGGCTTTGTAATGTCTGGACAAGATGTTGATTGCAATGATCAACCTGTGTTGCAATGTCCGCATCCCAATCCAAAGGCACATAGCCGCAGAGTTGTGGTCCCAGTGTGCTGTGAGCAATGGCAGTACGGTCATAGTTTCTGGCATTGTGTCCATTTGATGGGCTGTGCGAGGAGAATTGAAACCACTGCACTTCCAGTCCGACAGCTGTATGATCCCCAATGTTGCCCAAATCCAGTTCCGGAATCGTTCTGGAAGTGGTACACGAAGAAAACCATGAGATAGGGTTTGTTGGTCCCCTTGGTGGCGATCACTGGTAGCTGGGAGACAAAGGCAATGCGTCTCCAGTAGTTCCCGTAGGAATCCTGTGCCACTGGTATGCTTGTCATCTTGCTGGAAGACATGTCTAGCATCCTGTTCACCAGACGCCGCATTCGCATCGATGAGGAGAACTAAATCTTTGTCTTGAACAGCGTCCTGAATGCTGATCATTGTGTCATTCCACCAATCAGCACGTTCTGAATGTGGAATACCGCTTTGCGGAGCATAGATGACAGCAATCATGAAGTCCAAGTGTAGATTGTGAACACGTACAAGCATACATCTTGGGCTGGCGAAGGTGACCACAATATCTTTCTTGGTGAAGTAAAGGGGTCGACCACTTTGCCAACCATATGGTTGATTGAGGTTCACCCACAATTCCACTCCTTGGTGTCCATGATAGTCGCCACTGGCCAGTCGAAGAACAGATGCTGTGGTCGTCGAGCAGGCTGTTGTGCGAGTCTCTTGCAATCCAAGAAAATGGAGGTGGAGGTGTTTGAATTGTTCTCGCACATAATGCAACTTGCCAGGTGTACCATCAGCACCCTTGTAGAAGGTGCGGACATTTGCCGTTGCAAAACTCAAAGCCACATCTGTGCGCACTGTGTGTTGCTCTGCAGTTGAGACGGTGTGAGATGCATCCTCTGGGAGCTGTGGCGGTGGAATGGCAAGCCCTCCGTCACAGGATCTGGGCAAATCTCCGTCCTGTGCCAGGACCATCCAAAGTACACGCAAAATGCGCCCAAAGGTGGGCATGTTGATCTGCTGCCGTGGAAGGTACTGACTGTCTCGTCCTTCAAGCTTGGCAAAATGATCTACCAACTCATTGTAGGATATTGTAGGGCTCCCCTGCATGACTGCGTGTATGTGAAACTCGCAGATGATCTTCAGGTAAAATTGCTTCTAGCGCTTGAAAAGCAGCTCGAAGATGACAAAAGGGAGTACTCGGTGAACTGGTTCCAAGAGTCCCAGAGGCTTGTCCACCCACCAGAAGAGAGTCAGTCACAAAGATAGTCGGGAGCCTGTGGTTCTGTGCAAGCCGCCAAAGAGCGCTCCACAACAGTGCCTCGGTTTCTGCTGCATCGGAGCCGATGTGATCTGTACCAACATGATGAGGACGATCTGGTTCATAAAGGATCTGTTGACAAGTCAGGCCAATGAACTCCAGGTTTCGTCCAGAATTGTCATCTTGGTCAGGGTACTGTTCCGCAAAAACGGCAAAGCACCAAGAGTCGCTCACTTCATGCAGGTCAGTCCATAGAGGCGAGCAATGTCTTTTCTTGCTCTGAGAGGATCCATCCGCATAAATGATCAATCTGTCATGTCGAGAGAGCGGTCGACATTGCGCGATGGCCTCTTGTATGAAGTCTGGCACCTCATATGGAGTGATGTCTGTAATCAACTGCAGAGGTGGCGCATTGAAAAATGCTTGAAGCTCCTGACAGTCTACCTCAATGACATGCGCAGATCGTGATCGATCAAAACCTTTATCAAAGAAAGGTTTGGTCATGTTGATTTGCAGTGGCTGTGGTGAGGGCCAAGGTGTGGGCAACCTCAGTGGTTTGTGGTCCTCTTCATGCTTGGGCTCCACGTTGCAAAAATGCAAGAACGTGACATAGTCATTGACGTGTTCACGGTGCGTAATCACTGCTTTGTGAAAACCCTTCCGATATAGTATCTTCATGTGAGTGATGTCATCCTCCGCAGGAATTCCACGTTGCACATGAATGCCATTCTTAGTGGTCGTGTCCTGGTTGCAATAGATGTGCATCACTTCATGATGGAAGATACGAGGCTGAAAATACACGGCATCATGCTGGCCACATGAGAAAACTTCACCTTCATAGCCCATGCTGTGAAGTTCTTGACGAACTTGTTCAGGTGTGCCTGGAACTTCAACCTCCACAAAGTGTGGGATTTGGGTGGAAGATCTGTAGGTCGGTGGCCAGTGGATGTAGATAATGCCTGTGGCAGGGCAAGGAGGTTCCATGTCCTCTTCCAAGATGGAGGGTGTGCAGGTTGATGTATCCAATCGTGGCCCATGGGTGTGAGCCACCTGCCCATGTGTTTGGCGCTCACGATGGATGATTTGCACTTTTGTTTGAAGAAGGTTGGTGCCGTCGCGCATGTCTTGATAGGTAGGTCTCCTGTGCATTTGGATCAGAAGTCCTTGTCCATTGCGAGCAGGAAAGACCGTTCCCGGCTGGATGAGGAATCGATCATACCAAGTCTGGCATGTCATCGCAGCCCCTGTCGCAAGGCATCGTCCGGCCAGTCCCAATGCCATCAGCAAGTTCTGAACATACATGTGTTCATGGGTGGTGATTGCAAGTTGCATTGTAACAGCACGTCTTGCATGACTAAGATCGACCACTGTCGTCAGAACGGTGGCAAAGACTTCATGCGGCCGCTGGATCAGGAGCACATGAGCTGCCGTCTCGCGATGTGTGTTGATGGGAGTGGGAGTCACGACCTGAATGATCGATGGCATTGCTGGATTCAACATATCCTGCCACGTCTGGCGGATTTGAGCTTCCCACTGCGTATAGTCCTCGTAAAGACGGACTGTTCTGGGCCGAGTGCATGTCCAGAAATTTTGGTCGTGTTGATCGACGAACCATGTTTGGATCCTGGTTGATGCTGTTTCACCCTCCCAACTAAACGCAGTCCGGATCCAGTGTTGGTGTAGTTCTTGGATCTCTTCAGGCATTGTATTCAAGTTGGGGGTCAGTGGATTGAATGCTGGTGCTCCAGGATTGAAGACGAAACGTGCACATCGTCTGCTGGTTGATGACGTTGCAAGTCCATCATTTGGTGCGTGCGCATCATCTGCTGGTGTAGAAGGCTCACGTCTCCATCTGGTGCGGGAGCGTTGCATGAGCTCCATATGGTCATCGTCATCCTGCGGCAAGATGAGAGGTCGTATGTGGATGACCAAGCTGGCGGCCCGAGGTATTTCTACCCAATCAGCAAGACCAAAGGGCAGAGCTCCAAGTCTGACAGCACATAGTCTGGCTTGGCAGTAGATGAACATCTCGGCCAGGTGCAGCACATTGCGCTCTGTCATGATGTTGGGAAGTGAGTAGGCCCCATGCCTCGTGGAATCTCCATGTCGGTCGCGGACGTGTATGGTGATAAGTCCAACACCATGTTGAGGTCTTGTGGATTGTTCTAGAATCAAATGGACAAGAACACACTCTGTCATGGCACACGGCGGGGGCGGTTGCACCAAATGTATGGTCGTGGCCAAGTTGGGGTCAATGATATCTTGCCATAGTTCCAGAATGTCAGTCCTCCACCTGGTGGGATCGGCTCCAAGTCTGATGGGTCGTGCTTCGCGACAAATGGTTTGTCGTTGGCGATGGATGTACCATGTGTCAATGTAGGCAATTTCGCCTTCATCACTGCATTCAATGAGTGCATCTCTGTCAAACCAGTTCCTCAGTCGTTGAAGATCACCTTGATGGAAATCCTGTGTCGGTGCAGCAGGGCGTTGGTCTTGTTGTGTTGATCCTGGAAGTCCAATAGGTCTGCCCGTCGTAACGTGGTCAGGTGCAACTTTGCATGTGGCTGGTTCCAGATTGTGTAGCAGGTTGGCACAGTCCTGCTTGAGGTGTCGCATCGCTTTTTGGAAAAGGTTGACTTCCTCAGTATCATTTGTGATCAGGCCTTCTTCCGCACTCTCGTTGTTTCCCAAATCAAGATCTGACAAGCATGTCTCAGAGTTTGGCAAGTCGCCCACAAAGATCCTGATATAGTCTCCATCTGCCATGTACAAGTTCTCCGTGGCTTGCTCCTCAATGAGTACATTGTTTCTCCAAACATGGCATGGTTGATCTTGGGCATCACATAGTTCTCCCAGGCCAAGTTCATTCAGGAGGCCAGCTCTTGTGAGAATGTGTGGAATCCATGTTGGGAATCTGCGGAAGGGCGAAGTCTGTACATTCTGCTCTACATGTAGTTCTCTGTCAATCAAAACGAGACGAACATATGGAGATGGTCGAAACTCGGTGGACCGCTGGAGCAACATACAATGTAGGTGGACTGGCTCATAGTCCAAAGGTCTGTGTGGTACTGCGACAACTCGCAAGATGTTTCTTCTGCCAAAGTTCAGAGCAGCTGCAATTTGACCAAAAAGTGCATCCGGATCACTCCATGGAAGTTGAGCTGATGTGGACAGTCCATCCATGGTGAAGATAACCGTTTGTCTCCAGTCCAATCCACGTTCAGTTGAGGACACCGTCTCAGGCGAATTTGACGTAGATGATACCTCAATCGGTTGCCGTCGGGCAGGCCGATGTGGTCTTCTTCCCATGAAGGGAACGGCGTCTTCAGGATCCTGAGGTTGTCCATTTGCTCCCGTAGGATCAGGTCGCGGATGGTCTGCTTCTGGCGGTCCTTCGGGAACTTCAGGAGGGTCCCAGCTGTCTCCTTGTCTGTGGTGTCGTTGTTGTTGTACTCGACGGCAGAGATTTTGTTCCGCCTCTTCAATGGAAAGAGAAGAGGGGATGCGGATGTGTACACTCAGTCCATGAAAAGTGGCGATGTCTTGATCATCGGGTTGTAGTTGATGACCAATGTGGACTGTGCAGCGATCAATTCCTTGTTGCTCACGCTGAAGACAAATTTGTTCCACACCCGCCAAATGTCGGACTCGTGCAGGAGGAAGTAGGAGATCAGTCGAGTGAGCAGAATGTCGGAAGGTGGTCACTGGGTCCATGATGTGCACTGCAGTGATGAGGCACGCAGCCCGGTCTGCTCTGTAATGTTGGTGCACAATGACGGTGGCTACCGTTCCTCGGAAAGGGATGTGTGGTGGTTCAGGACGTACAATGACAATGTCCAATGAGGCTTGGTTGTCCACCATGTCTTCCCATATGAACCGTACATCAGCCTCCCATTCTTGGTATTCCTGGTCAAAGCGCAGGATTCTAGGCTCATCATGAAACCTGTGTGTCTCGTGGTCAATGTAAAAGGAGCTGACCATGATGACCGGACCTTCTTCTTCATCACTCACTTCTCCTTCTTCTTCCAGCAGTTGTCGTATATTCTGTCCCCAAGACGGCATATGGACGTCTCCTCGAGGAGGTCGATGGTGACCTGGTCCAGGGGTGGCATCAGTGGTGTCAGCAGCGCCAGCGCTCGGGAACATGGTGGCTGCCTCAACTGGGGGAGCAGTATTCTCTCCATTGGCGTAGTCAATGAGGCTGTGGCCAGCAGGACACTGCCATTGATCTGCATTGAAGTCAAAATTGATGTTGGAAAATTCTCCTCCTCGAAGTAGACCCGCACTCCAAGGCATTGTACCATTGCCAAGACATACATCGGGAACGGTGATCTTGTACATGGTTAACTCATCATCCAGGCCCATCAGAACATCAACGTCCGAAGCAAAACCCAAGCTTCGACGAGGTGAAGGAGCCATGTGTGTGAGCGTAGCTGATTTTGTGTCACTGGAGATTCCATCATAGGTCCCCAATTCGAATGCAAGGGAACGCGCATTCTCAATGGCGGCGAACTCATTGATGAAGTTGTACTCCTCGACAATGCTGTGGGACCATTTGAGGACAGCAACTTCGCCTGAAATGGCATGGCTGTCGATTGTCTGTGGCTTCAGGTTGGCATACTGTGCAGTCATACTCAACCAGCCTTGCCAAAATGCGGCTTGGATCCGTCTCCAGATGCCATATTTTGGTCTTCGTCCTTGGGTTGCATGGTGCGCTGTCTTTTGGCAGCATGGTTCTCCTCTGCGATCATGGCTTCTGCTTCTTGATGTAGAGATTGAAGGGAGGTCGCCAAGCCTTCCATCGTCTCTGTGATCTTGACAGAGGCTTGTAATGCCGCTGCTGTTTCTGGATCCTCGGTCTCGTCGTCCGAGTTGATCTGTTGGACATCGCCAGCACCCAATTTGGCTTGCTTGCAGGTCTCCAAGTCCTTCTTGGCTGTCAGCAGTGATTCTTTGTGAGTGATCACCTGCTCCTGCAGCTTCTGTTCCTGCTCCATGAATTGAGCAGCATATGTCCTCCATAGTTGGACCGCGTCCGATAGAAACTTCTTCCACATTGCATGATGTTGGCTGCATGCAAGAACCGCATCGTCGTAGTTCTGCCTGGCCGTATCCAACGCCGTCACCGCAGCATGGAGGTCGGTCGATGTCTGCTGGCCGAACTTGGTGAGGACCTTCTGAACCTTCTGCTGCATGTCCTCCGGCAATTCCGCTTGTCGTCCTCTCATCATGGACATCAATCCTCTTACTTCTGCATCTGCAGCATTGCTGGATGGCACCGAAGTCACGGTCATCTTTGGCATCGCTGGTGCAGGCATCGTGGGCATTGATGATACGAAGTTCCCACTCATGTTGGGTGCAGGTCCCGGCATGGGTGCCGGCATCTTCGCCATGTTTTGTGGCGGCGGTGGCGGTAGCGGGGGCATGCTTCCTGCCATCTGCTGCATGGGGAATGGCATGATCTGCTGAGGATACATCGTGGGCATCTGAGGTATTGTGCCCATTGGACCCATGTAGGCCTGAGGGGCCATGGGCGGCATCATCATTTGGGCCGGCTGATGTGTCGTGGGTGCTTGCTCCTGTTTCGGAGTCTTCTTCGCGCTCCTTGGTCTCTGTCGCTGTCTCGGCGAGGGCGTACGTCCTCTGGAGTTCGAAGAGTTCCAATGAGCTTGCCAATCTTGCTGCTGTTGCCATGGTGAACCGTAATGCTGACCTTGGTCCTGTTGCGATGTCTGCTTCGAGCCATGCACGTAGGACTGGTCGATCACGTTTTGCCATGGTTGCTGGCAGTTGGTGCAGTACAAGGCTGTATGTTTCCTCAGCTGTCTGCAAATTCTGCACTTCCACGGTGCTCGATCTGATGACGCCATTGTTGATGTAATTCTGCGAAGGAAATGAATATCCTTCGAATGATGTCCTCCAAGAACTCGTGCGATGTGTCTTCTCCTGGCTGGTGTAAGCAGGAGGATTCCCTTTCGATGCAAAAACCAGGCCCTCCGGGCGGCCGCTCTTCTCCGCCGCTGTTGCCGGCGATGCGTCGCAGTCGTCGTCAGCAGTCAGAGTCCTCAGGGGGAGCGCACTCTCCGAGACAAGCAAGATCACAAAGACGAAGAGGAGCAAAAAGACCATGTAAAAGTCAACCGCAGTCAGGACGGTGGCAAACTCGGGCAGGATCAAGTCAAACTGTCCCAAGATGATGCGAAGCCCGACCGCGAAGACAATGTACACGTGACCAGTGCAAGAACAGGTGGTGTCGGGTGGTCAATCCGACAGAGCACGTTCCGTAGGTGCCAGGGCGAACCAGTTGAGCACCAGACGGCAAAGGCCAAGCTATTGCAAAGGCCCGCGGGCAAGAGGTCACAGGTGCCCGCTAAGGAATGAGCGTGGGGGGTCAGACAAACACGTCGTCCCTCAGCCAAAACCTTTATATATCTATATGCATATATATATGTACATATGCATTTATGTAAATTTGTATGTATATATATATTTGTATATATGTAAATAAATAAATATATATATATATGTAAATATATATATATGTATATATATATATGTATATATATGTATATATATATTTGTATATATATATTAAATATATATATATGTATATATATATATGTATATTTTCATTTGTATTTACATATATATATATGTATCTATGTATCTATGTATCTATGTATATATGTATATATGTATATATCTATATACGTATATACTTATATATGTATATGTGTATAGGTATATATATACATATTTATACATCCATCCATATATATATATATACATACATACACACATACACAGCTGTGTGCAAATTGCATGGCTTTCTCATTTTCGTGATGTTGATCCAGCAATCGAGGACCTTTGCATCGAGCTTTCGAGCAAATGGTCAGAACCTCAGATTGTGCTTCGGGTGCGGGGTTGTAGCTGTAGTGGCTCAGGTTGCCCCAATACCGCCCAAAACGGTCAGTGATCAGTAGATCAGGCATCGCATATATAGACTGTCATAGACCCATTGGTTTCCCCTGAGTGCTGTGTCCTGTGGGGGAAGCCCTGGTTGAAGGTCGGGAGGCGAACCGACGCAGAGTGCCAGTGTCGCTGCTGACCTCTCCTCGCCCGCATGGAGAAGGTGGGGTTGATCCGATCAGCCAGGAGTTCCCCTGGTGCGACTACAAAACTGTGGCAGGGAAAAAGAGAGAATTTCATGGATGAGTGTGCTTTTACCACCATTCGTAAGAATTTGGCTCTCAGGCCACATGCAAGCTTCTGGAAAGGCAGTGGAGGCTGGAGTGAAGGGCCCGGGCCAAAGTGGGACTTTGTCACTTTTTTGGCACTCCCCATTTCTTGACAACCATTCATTTTGGAGCTTCCCAATCTGCCAAGTTAGTTCGACTGCTTTGCAGCTACTATGATGCGCGTTGGTCCGACTTGGCGGTGCCCAAATTGCGACCTTGATGGGTATTCTGCCTTGGGGGAAATATTAAGGGTCTTGTGGTGCTATGTCCGTTCAGTATTTCCCAGGTTTGGACGATGGGCACATTTACAGGACACAGCCCCATATTTCGGTTAAGAATTCAGATTTCCTGTAGAAATTCTCCTTGAACCAAGCCCAGTGATGGCTCTTGACCAAAGTGTGCATACGGAACGTAGCCAGGCTGGGACGCATGCGAATATCGATTGATTTTCTGCCGACCATCTCCCCCCTACCGGGAAAGTATTCCTAATTTCTTGGTCGGCTTGATTCCGCCAAGCTGCGGTCGTTTGCCAGGCAGACCCGGTGGGACTGTCTTCAGCTGAAGTGACAGCGGTGCGCGGGGTGAAAATTGTTATCATGGCCGGAAAGATCGAATTTCTCTGGTCAACAGCCCAACTATTGGACTAGTAGGACCAGAACTGATACAACTCTGTATACTACATAATGTGAGTAAAGCAATAGTAAGCCATCCCGAATTTTGCGACAAATGGGTGCCATATGGTGCCATAACATGACAGGCAGCACGAGAGCAGCGGCGCTTGGAGATGGAACGGGAACTCTGTGAGAAGACGGGGCCCTGGGGGCTCTGGGGGCCTCGGCGATGGGTTTGTTCCAAGATGGGATGGCAGATTTTTCTGCGGGAAAGTGATGATCAAAGATCAATTTGATAGATGATTTGGAGGTACTGTACCATGCTGTACCATACTGTACCCAATTTTCAGACAAAGCTGGAAGAATCGATCCATCGATCGATCCATCGATCCAGGTTGGGCCTTCAAACACCAGAGGCACAGCCTGTGCGGGCATGAACACCTGCGGTCACAATGCACCAAAGGTCTCCCCTTAGTCGGAAAGGTCTCAAAATATGTCAACTCCATGAAATCCTTCAAAAATTCAATCCCATGACATCCCAGCAATGTTTGATTAATCCCCAATTCTCTCCAAAAACTACTCAAAAAGCACCCCCAAAAAAATCGATGGCGAGGCCAGTCCTGTGGCTCGTCCGAAGCTGACAGCGGTCGCCAAGGTTCGCGGCCCAATAGGTTTGGTGCTGGTTTTTTGGAAGCAACTAATGTGCACCAAAGTGTACCAAAGTCCAAATTGATTATAGGCGCAAGGGAGAGATGATTTGAGAAATTTGAGGTACCTCTGGGTTTTCGAAGTCTTAAGGAGTGAGTGTCAGAAATCTTGAGATGTGCAGGTATTCATTGGCATGAGAACCACTCGCAACGCAGGCTGTGAGATTTGTTCAAAACAAGTGAGGGAAAAATCGTTTCTGAAGCAAAGCTCAGGCTTCCCTTTGACATAAACAGTTTTTGGGTATGAATTTACCAAATCATTTCCTCCCATAGCAAAAACAGCTGGGTTACTTCAGTAGGTGAGTGACTTGACGCTTCGGGTCTGCCATGGTTCCTGTGCTGCGTGGATGATCAGAGCTTTGCTGAACCTGGGCCTAAGTGGGTATCTTTGATAATGGGCCAAAAACCTGCCAATGGCTCATTTTTAATGGGGAGATTCGGAAAATCAGAATGAAAACCACCGGATTTTGGGGTACCCTATTTTCAGATGAATCCATTTTTATGTCTGTTTACCCTTGTGGGACCTTTGGTGAATGGGGGGGACGAAGATCCATGACTGCCAGCCACTCGTATTGCCAAGGAAGGCCTCAGAGGTTTTCAACAGCTGGTTGGAGGGACCCTACAGTACCTGGGTGAAGGTGATTTATATCAGACTCCTGGCAGCACTGGGACTTGCTCGACCGGTCATGGCCGTTGTTGTGGCCGTTGTTGTCTCTCATGGCCGTCATCACCAGGTTTCTTCTTTGGCGCTGGTGTGTTGGGCCTGTGGGGCCTAGCCAAGCCACTTGGTGTTGGATGAACAGTGAGACCTGCAGGGACCCGCAGGAACTACAAAAACCGTAGGTTGACCAACCTGGCAATGCTCCTGGATGTAATTCTTTGTTCTCTGATTTCTTTAAAAATCTTCTTGGATCGTCACAACCATTCAACACGTGGATCCGGTTCCAGGACATCCTTAAATCATGAATCATTGCTTTCCTTTGAAGTTTCCGGACTGGACGGAATCCCACCTGCCTTTTACCGTACACCGGCGGTTTCCAAGCCTGGCCACCAAGGAACTTGGAGACTCTGCGAGATGAGCACGAAGCGAAGGTACAGGAGGCCAGAAGTGTGAAGCCTCAATGATAAGTTATGGCAGTTATGGCAGTTATGTGTTGTGAAAAAATGTAACCAATGTAATCTCAAAGATCAGTGATGCGGGTACTCGCCACTTTTGGGATGGATTACGAGTACCTTCATGGCTGTTGGGTGTTGTCTGGAGAGGTCCTTGCAGAGAAGATGGCCACCTCGGGGCAGGCTGGACATGACATGTTGGGTGCTGTGGGCAGGTGGCAAAATCAAAGGAGTTCGGTTCATTAGATATATCTTATGTTGATGATGTTTGATGTGAAGCTTGGGTGGTGGTTTTTGTGGTTTTTGTGGTTTTTGCACCTCTTGGTACTGACTTGTGACAACAATTTGCTGGCTTCGTAGCACCCTACCGACCTAACAAAAAAGGCCCAGGAACCTCGCCCCACCTTGGAAGCATGACAACGGAGAAACCGTGATGACCACATGCTCTTCAGGCAAAGGAAGACAAGGCTGCTTGGAGGGCAAAAAAGAATGGCAAGGATTGCCGCAATTGATCTTCCGATTAAAAAACCTACACTTCATGTCATGGTGTCCCAAGCGCAAGGCTGCAGCGGCTTCGTGTAAAAGACGTACCGGCAAAGAAGGCGGAGATTTTCAGGGCCTCAAACAGTGGCTGAACTACAAACCGTCGCAAAGATCAGCGATTCCAATGGGGAAATCTTCGCGAAAACTCAAACCCAACATCAATTAGCTCTGAGGATAGTGAAGCGATCCAAACTTTTGCAAGAGTTTCATCATGAAAAAACGACATTGGTTTACCGTGAGCGCCAGGCCAGTCCTCTGAAAACTCGGACGGATGATCACCATCTCTGAGGAGGGGCAATGCTGATATCGGCTATGGATCAAGTCATTGCGGGCAGATGGACTCATCAAATTCGGTTTTTCCCGAGTGTTAGCCTATGGGTCTCAGCCCAGATATAGGTTGGGTGCGGAGGTTCTGGTGCAGTTTCCAGTGAGGTTCTGGTGGGGGTTCTGGGTGGTTCCGGGTGGTTCCGGGTGTGGCATGGGTTTCCGCGGGTACCGTTTTTTTTTTGGTTGAAAGTTGACAGGGTTTTGATGTTGAGGATACGACCTGGATTTATTTACTTATGTAAAGTACATTAAAGTACCATAAAGCCATCCATTTCTGGGCATAATCTTGACACATACCAGCCTATACCTACATGTTGGCTTGAGCAAAGACACGTTCAATTCCAAGACTGATTCAATGGCAAATTTAAGCAATCTATGAGTAAGTTTCAGATCTCCGAAAAGAGTGGGCACAGGGTGACCATCTCCACTTTGCTTTAAAAAGTGTAGAAGATGAGTTAACAGTTAACACGATCTGAATGATTTTCGAAGGCTTAGGGGTGTGTTGGGTGCTGTTGTATGTCTTTACCCAGCCATTTCCTGGGTTCTAGAGTGAGTTGGAAGGTCAGGGTTGAAATCTTCGAGATTTGCCAGGTTTCAGGATCCTTCCATTCTCGTTAGGATGGAGCGCAATCACAGTTGGAGGGCAACACCTCAGGACAAGGCACCAGGGCATATCGATCGGATGTTGGCTCTTTGAAGTCCTTGAGCCGCATCCATCCGGGATGGAATCTGTTCCAATTTACCCTCTGGTAATTTAACATAGCTATTGAAAATGGCCATTTATAGTGGATTTTCCCATTAAAAATGGGGATTTTCCATAGTTATGTTAGTTTACCAGAGGGTAAATCAATTTGATGTGGCTCAGTAGAGGCAATACCAAAGATTGCAATGTGGCTGCCAGGTGCCCAAGGCGATGTGAGCCGGGCAGCTATTTGTCGATAGCAATTGGAGGGAGCTGTTCAGACATCGGCCCCAGGAAGTTGGGAAACCAGTGATGGAATCAGCTGAAAGATGTGAAGATGCGAAATTCGGACTCGGCTGACAGATGGCACAAAGAGGCTGCCTTTGCATTGGTCTTGATTCAATCAGTGCTCGATTCAAAGATTGCGCTTCCGCAGCTCTCAACTGCCAAGGGTCGCTTCTTCATCTACTCATGCAGAGTGTGTCATGGAATTTGCGGCAGTGGGTACATACGGCTGAATCCCTGAAAGGTAAACGCGCATTTGCTACCATCGAACGAATTGTTGTTTGAAAGAGCAGAGTCCTGGAAGTTTATCTATGGCTGCAAATTATTGAACCCCTGAAAATGGATGGTGTAATACCAACAATGACTCGATTTTGTTGTAGTTTTGGGTTGCCACGGCATGAACCCAGGCACCTTCAGTACGGCCCACTTCTGCTGGCCCCTCGCGGCCACCTAAGCCGAAGCCGTGGGGTGCCCAATGAAAGGGGCGCAGAAGTAGAGTCGAACCATGCTGAAACCATGGGGGGCATCCGGGACCTTCCGATCTCCTTCCCACTGGTCCTTGAGGCACCGTCCACTGCCAGAGGCTGATAGCGGCAGGGAGGGCATAGCTGGCCTGGGGATGAACCGATGGGCGCCTTTTTTTTGGAAGGATCCTTTGGTGACGTTTTCAAGGGGAAAAATTACTCGATTTCCGACTTCCAAACTAAGCAGCGACATGGCTCAGAGGCTTCCCAACACCAATTTTGATGGATCCTGCAGCTCAACTGACCAATCAAGCAGCCTCTGGCCTCTGGCAACAAAGCTGTTGAGGCGCCGGGGAGCTTCCATGCACCGGTTTCAGCAGAGGAGAAATCTGGTCCAGGTCCACAAGCTCATGGGCCGTAGACCTTTGCTGAAAGGTTTACTTTAAAGTGGAAATATCAAAGTGCGATCACCAGGTCGGGGGTGAAAAACATATTTCTTGAGCTGCTGATTCTTGTTGGAGATTGCTCAAACTGCAAGTTGTTTTTTCTCAGATCCTGATTGATCTGGGTAGAATCCAGATTACAAACAAAAACGAGACGGACCCATTTTTCTCCCCGTTTTATTTCGATTGCGAGGAGTTGCCCAGCGTTCGTCGTTGGAAGTCCAGCGCGCTTTCTACGGAAACTGCGTGGGAGGGCACAGCAGAGGCAAGGTGAAATCGAAGGTTGACACCGGTTGACACCGGTTGACACCGGTTGACAGCTTGGTCATCTCTGCACGGCTCAGAATGATTTGTAAGAAAGATCAGGCAGTTTGTATCAAACATTGACATTTGTTTGGCTCCATCTGTACATTTTCAGGCTCAACATTTTGGAAAAGCGGCATGGAAAGATGTTGTATGATGCTGTAAGGGGTGCTGCATGGGTTTCTTGGTTCTTGGGCCATCCTTATCTCCTTGAAAAGCACTCGCAAGAGTCACTGGACTGAGGCTAGCATCTCCTGGTCGCAATGAAGGGTCAGAACTTTCCAAGACGGCACCCGCAGCCGTGTTCGGAAGCTAAGGGCCAGTTGCAAGTGCGGCTGCAACATCAGATTCAGTGGAACATGTCCAGATTGAATCTCTGTGGGAGTGAATCGGATTGACGTTGATTGATATCTAATGACAAAAATATGTTATGCAGGTTGATGATTGCTAGAAAACCATCCGCAACTGTTTCTTGTGGACGTGTTCAATTGGAAGCAATGCTGGTAAAGGAACGGGCTGGCTCTTGCTTCCTGCCTGTTTTGATGGTCCCAGAAGCAGCTGAGGGCATAGGGATCAAGACAATGAAATGCTCTTGAGCAAGTCTAGATCATAGACTGATAGCAATGACATGCAATGACCCAGAGTTCCGAAGCCAATCAACTTTCGCCATTTTTGTCAGAACTCTGCTTGTCTCTGAGAGCCATTCTCGAGGTTGGGTCCGGATGAGACCAGCCCCGCCATGTCTCCGAGACAAGAGGATCAAGAGGGCGGTATTGGCGAAGGTTTCACCCAGGCCCATGATTTCTGTAGGGAACATCTTGAAGCCATGGGTGGCAGCACCTCTCCTGGCTCTTGATGTCTGGGTTAATATGATAGATATGAATAGATATGATCTATTATAGATCTATACATACTGTATATAGTGTTATATAATGTTATATTATATGATATATATATATATATAAATAATATTCTACACGATGTCTCTTGAGGGTGGACCTTTCCATTGCTGTCTCTTGACGTGTGCTGTTGCCATACCTTTGGACCTACGCTCCAGACGTCGCTGCGCGGGACTGGCCTGTGCTCCAAGCTTAGACGGCGCAGATGTTGAAAAGTGGATCAAAGTTGGATCAAAGTGCGACATTTTGAATCATTTTGACAGAAGGCAGTTGCTTCCAGGTGTGAATATCAAGCCATCAGCCCCACTCTCCTTGGAGGTGGGGAGCTCCTGAGATTTCACACTTGCATATCTTGATATTTGAACGGAATCGCCACTTCCGACAAGTTCTGAGTGGCATTTTTTTGGATGTGGATGATGTGGTGCAGATCTTTCCGGATTGGATCTTTTGTTCTGCGACTTTGCCTGGTAAGTGAGCATGTGGTGGTTTCCAAGACATGCCAGGCTTCACCTGCTTCAGGACACGGAGCGTGGACAGCTGGTGATAACACCCATTTGCACTCCGCCTATTGGCCTATTGATTCCTATATAATCCCATCCCCCTAAACATTAAACATATTTAAACATCAGAAACACCAGGCGGTGTTGACTATTGGGATGAGACCTCTACGTCTCACAGACATCTCGCTAAATGACTGTACCAGGAGCAGATGTGTTGCTGGAGCCTGATCCACAAGTTGAGGTGCAGAACCTCGCCGCTGCTTTGCTCAAAAAACTGGGTCTGGTCTGGATCCATGTTACAACAGAAATGAATCTTTTGCCGATTGCCAAATAGGACTGGAACCATTGGAAACTCAATACTTTTTTTTTTGGTAGCAGGTTATTGCACACATGCAGCCTCTTTTTTCTGCTATCCTCACCCAATTCTCCCTGCTAAAATATCCTGTCCCCTCCAGGTGGAACAGGTGGAACAGGTCCCTCCTGGAGACTCTGAGCGCGTTGAAAGCCCAGGTGCTTATCTAAAGTGGAAGTGATATCAACTCTTGCAGAGGAACAACATGTCACACTGTGTCGCGCACCATTTATTTCGACAGATTGACATCCCAAATTGCCCACAAAGGTAGTTGTATGATGGTTGAATATCAAGGAACATCAATGAAAATCACCAAACCTTGCAGGAAAGCGATATTTTTACAGGGAGAATCAATCAACCAGGGAAGTCGACTTCAGCCCATCCCATTTTTTCTTCGGCTGGTTCACTGGTCATTGAGTCCAAGCGTTGTTGACACCCCCACAACATTTGCTTGCATGACCATTTCACTATATTTCACTTGGTATTTGTTGATTAATTTCTTTACGAATTTCCCTGGAAGTATCCCATTTCTGGAGTCCAACTGTGGCAACTCAAGCAACTCGCAAGATTCACTAAGACAACCTATGGAAAACCACCTTGGAGGCCCTGCGATCTCCGAGATGAAGGGCGCCAGACTACTGGAGGCCGTCTTTTGATGGTGGAATAAGTGGAAGATATAGCTTTTAAGCAACCAAGATGATGGTTTAACCATCAAAAATGTCAGTTTTAACGAACCGAGTTGGGGTTGGATATAAATAAATAAATACATATATATATATATATATATTATAATTATATATATACATAAAATAATATACTGTAACCAATACATAAAGTGGAGCGGTTTCCTGCCATTTTATAACAGGAAAAATATGATCATCTAATCAACCATCAAATGTTTGGACATCATATTTTCGGACAATACATCATATATCTACATCATATATCAACATAAATACTTGATCCATTCAACCTTTAATACTTGATTCGGCTCAAGATGGAAAAGGCTGCAGCCGCTGCCTCGGTGCGGGTGTGACCTTTCATCACAACTTTTGGGGTTTTGGTTTCGGGATCAACATTTCAATTTATGTATATGATATTTATCAAGATAGCCACATATTTTCATGGTTTCTTTCCTGGGGAATGAAGGGACATCACGGAATTTCATAGGAATATGGCCGTCCCCATGTCGCCCTAGGAAGGTTCCCGGCGCCTTCGGGAGAATTTGCAGCGCCTGCGGCTGGAGAACCGGCGGCACCGAGGCGCCCGGAGTCCGGCTGTTGTGCAGCGCCTGGCTTTGTGACGCCTGGCTGTTGTAACTTACCCTCTGGTAAATTAACATAGACCCTGAAAATCACCAATTTTTAATGGAAACTAATCTTCCAACCCCTATCTGCCAGGGTCTATGTTAATTTACCAGAGGGTATATAACTTACATGTAGCTTACATATAGCTTCTATTGTTCAATGATGACCATCATTGAATCATCTTCATGTCATGTTTTTCCCCACCTGCCAGGTGAGGGTTGTTAGATTTTATGTCAGTTGCCTCCTCCTCCTCCTCCTGCCTCGTCCTCCTCTCCTCCTCCTCCTCGTCCTCCTTGTCGTCCTTGTCGTCCTCGTCGTCCTCGTTGTCCTCCTCGTCCTTGCTCAACTGCGACTCGCGATCCACAGTGTTCTCTGCCGGACCTCAACCACGACCATCCACGCCCAGTGTTCCCTGCCGGACCTCAACCACGACCATCCACGCCCAATGTTCCCTGCCGGACCTCAACCACGACCATCCTCGCCCAGGGTTCCCTGCCGGACCTCAACCACGACCATCCACGCCCAGTGTTCCCTGCCGGACCTCAACCGCGAGTATCCAAGCCAAGTGTTCCCTGCCGGACCTCATGTAGGAAGATAAAATGTCAGATAGAGTGCCAGAAGATTTGCCAGGTAGAATGCCAGAAAATATGCCAGAAGATATGCCAGATAGATATGCCACAAGATATTCCAGAAGATATGCCAGATAGAATGCCAGAAGATATGTCAGAATATATGCCAGAAGATATGCCAGATAGAATGCCAGATAGAATGCCAGAAGATATGTCAGATAGAATGCCAGAAGATATGCCAGATAGAATGCCAAATAGAATGCCAGAAGATATGCCAGATAGAATGCCAAATAGAATGCCAGAAGATATGCCAGATCGAATGCCAGAAGATATGTCAGATAGAATGCCAGAAGATATGCCAGATAGAATGCCAGAAGATTTGCCAGATAGAATGCCAGAGATATGTCAGAATATATGCCAGAACATATGCCAGATAGAATGCCAGATAGAATGCCAGAAGATATGTCAGAATATATGCCAGAAGATATGCCAGATAGAATGCCAGAAAATATGCCAGAAGATATGCCAGATAGATATGCCAGAAGATATTCCAGAAGATATGCCAGATAGAATGCCAGATAGAATGCCAGATAGAATGCCAGAAGATATGTCAGAATATATGCCAGAAGATATGCCAGATAGAATGCCATAAGATATGTCAGATAGAATGCCAGAAGATATGCCAGATAGAATGCCAGAAGATTTGCCAGATAGAATGCCAGAAGATATGTCAGATAGAATGCCAGAAGATGTGCCAGTAAGAACATGTATAAATGTCATGGTGGGGATCACACGAAGTAAAGTAATTAAAATATGTTCAATCATCATCAACCATGACATGCTTGATGCACCGAGTACCCCGGTGGATACATATTCTGACAGTGTCTGAAACAAGTGGATAACAAAGGACTACATGGCTAATGGTCATATGGTACGAGGGTTATGATTCTCAGATACAGTACGTAGCTCGCTTCAACATGCCCTCTTTTTTGGAACAAAATGATGGTCCCTTAGGAACTATCCGCACATCGAATTGCCTCCCCTCGCCAGTTCGTCCAGTTGTTTTTTCTGCCGCGTGGGACCCAGCAACTGAAAAGGTGCACTCCAACGATGTTTTCTGCAACCTCAGCATGACCTGCTTGTAGTTGGCAATTTAGAAGAGCCAATAATAAACATGAGCAAATCATGCCTGGTTCTATTTTTTGATTATGATAAATAACAGCAAACCAAGGCAGTGTTTCACAGTTTTCCCCCACCATTTGTTACGGCGTAACCCAGGACGTGGACGCTTCACTGGAGCTTCACGCAGATCAGGCCGAGAAACCACGGCATTTCGAGGTGAAACTCCTGGGTCCAGGGATGGTGCTGAAAAAAAAACGGGTCTGAAAATTGGGCATGTATTCAACAAATACGAGGATGGGGATATGATGATGTAATGAAATTTATAACGAACAAAATGATAATTTGGGTCTGCATGAAAATGGGATATATGATATACCCTAATAGGTTTTTTTTTGGGTGTCTTGCGGGAAAACGATGATCATTAAATTTGTATAGGGGTATCTCATTTTCACTGGATGCGCGGTTAAGCACCAAAAAATCTTTTGCCACAAATGGGAAGGTTTAAATATCGTTTGCTCAGCATGTTTAATATGCAAATTGGCCATGATCCCGATATGAATGGATATCACGGATGTTGATAATGAATGTGTTGTATATTTAATACAGAAAAACAAGTAAGACAAGGGATTTGACCAACATCACATGGGGATAAGGTGGCATAGCCAATACTAGCTACCATGAATTGATATGAATATTGTGGGATTTCAACGATACTACCAATTGCAGAATTTTCATGGACGGTTTAAAAGTTTAAACTGAATGATTCTTAGCGAATCATGTGCTGCAATTGGAAGGTTTTTGAATCTTGTTCTAGGTTCGGTTTTGCCATCCAAAAGGGATGGCTTACTAATAGGTTTACATAGGTTTACCCCCGGACGTGGGATGATTCCCATCAACCCTTAGATCAATGGAATGTGCCCCAGCCAATCTAAAACCCGTTGACACCAAAAATAGCAAGAATCGTCAATATGATGCCCTCTTTTTTACTGCTAAATACTGTCCATGAAAAAGCAAAGAATCGGAATCATTTGGCATTATAGCAACCCCCGAAAAGACAGAATTCGGTACCATCCAATCCTAGATAATGATACATGTAACATAGACCCGGGCAAGCCGGCGGCGGAAGTTTCCCAAACATAAATGACCTATAGTTCAAAGACAACCTGTCCCGACCGTGTCCTTCCCTCGACACTCCACACCTCACACTGCACACTGCACTCTTCGCACTCCAAACTT